AGCAGTAACTATGTGCTCTCTACCAGGAACACACCCTCCAAATTATCAACTTTTAAATATCTTCTCTAGGTCAACGTGCATTTTCTCATGACAAATGAGGCTGAGCATTTTTAACATATTTAAGAGCCACTGGTTCTTTTCTGTGACCCAGTGATCCTTTTGATGAGGAAAGTTTGGGAACACCAGCCTAGCCTACTATTTATTTTTCCCACAGATAGGAACCCTGGGCCCCTGAGAGGAGTCAAGAGTTATATGGAGATACCTCAAAGCGATACAAGTAGATCTACCATTTGATCCCGCAATCCCACTACTGGGCATCTACCCAAAAGATCCAAAGTCACTTTATGAAAAAGGCACCTGCACTCAAATGTTTATAGCAGCACAATTCACAATTGCAAAGCTGTGGAAACAGCCCAAGTGCCCATCAATTCATGAGTGGATTAATAAAATGTGGTATATGTATACCATGGAGTACTACTCAGTTTTAAGAAACAATGGTGATATAGCACCTCTTGTATGTTTCTGGATAGAGCTGGAACCCATTCTACTAAGTGAAGTATCTCAAGAATGGAAAAACAAGCACTACATGTACTTACCAGCAAATTGGTATTAACGGATCAACACCTAAGTGGACACATAGGAGTAACATTTATTGGGTGTTGGGAGGGTGGGAGAGGGAAGGAGGGGATGGGTGTATACAACCACAATGAATAAGATGTGCAGTGTTTGGGGGATGGTCACGCTTGAAGCTCTGACTCGAGGGGGGAGGGGGGCATGGGCAATATATGTAACCTTAACACTTGTACCCCCACAATACACTAAAATAAAATAAAAATTAAAAAAAAAGAGTTAATCACGACCCCACCATAAGCAATGGCAGAGAAAGGATTAAAACTGGGAGTGGTGACCCCTTAAAATCAAATGGGGTGCTAACAATAAGCACATCAACCATTCGATGGATCCATAATTACAAATTGTGTTGAGTGTTACAAAATAAAACAGAGGCGGCATGCTGGTGGCCCACAGGCTAGACGTGGCCCATAGACATTGTTTATTTTGGCCTACATAGTGTTTTCTTTTCTAAATTTTAATTCTAAATAGTTGCCACATTTAAAAACAAGGAGCTTTGACATAAAATTTTAATTTCTGGTTTCTCTTAGGGAGAAAAAATCTGGTTTCTCTTAGGGGAAAATAAAACCCGGAAGCAGCAGCATCACTGGACTGAATGTTCTGGCAGCAGCGGCCGTCTGGTCGAGGGCAGCAGCTGCTCCCTCTCCCTGTGGACGGGCACACCACCTCCAGCTCTCCAAGGTCCTCACTGCTCCTTGGTGCCCACCACTGACATGGCTGCCACCACAGGTCCTCTGTCACGTCACATCACGCTTGTGTTACAAAGAAGGAGGTGAAATATTTCTTCTATCTACTTCCTTCAAAATAGGATGGTGAAAGCTGGACCTGGAAGAGTGCTGCATGTTCAAAGACAAATCTCAGGGGCATCTTTCTAAGCAAAGAAGCTCCCACTGTGTTTAACATGTAGGAATGAATGAATGGAACAAGCATCTATATAGACTACAATTCAAGAGAATGTAGAATTAACCATCATAAGAACCCATCAGCTTCCCTCATTAATATTGTCTGCCTGATCTTGGAAATATTTGGTTTTGGGGAGTTTTCATAGCCTGCTCTCAAAACCCAGCAAGGGTCTTTTCACGAAGGTGACTCTAGAAGTTCTTCCTGGTAGAGGCTTAGAGACGACCCGCTGAGCGGACGTGAGGCCGGAGGAATTGTCTTGTGCTTGCTTGTGCGCACTGATTTTACCTAGTTTTCTTGTTTTCAGGGATGGGTTGGGGAAGATGTCGGAGATGGGGAGCAGGGGGGATAACGTAGGCCCCCCGAAGCGCCGCATAAAGTTACCTGTGTTTTCATCTCCAACACCTGTGAACCTGTCTATGGCTAGGATCTTTCACAGGAAGACATCCACGAACTTGAGTCTTCTTCAGCTATCATCTGAGTGGTCTAGAGTGTGGTCCAGATGCTCCCTAGTCTCTTTGGCCTTTCCTCGAGCTCCTCGGTAACAGGTGAGACCCCAGCTCATCTCATCTCCCCAGTGGGGATACAGCCTAACTCCATGGGACTCAGCCAGGCCTCCGAGGGCTGAACGTGGGCGTGTCTGTGTCAAGCCAGCATCCAGACCTTCCTTCCACACACACAGCGTCCTGTGCCTCAGAGGGCTTTCTCCAGTGGACCAGGTTAGGGCATGTGCACCACACAAAGAAGAGGTAGCACCCAAAATATTGGAATCAAATCTGTAGGGCTGAAAGAGCCTGCTGAAGAAAGCCAGCATTAGAAACATCTTTCAAGGGGAATTGTGGAAACTCTGATGTTCTGAAAGGAGGAGAAGCCCTCACAGGGGCCTCCCATGGCTCACCCATCGTTCAGCTGGATGTCCCGCGGATGTCTGGGTGGGGGCAGGGCTGGGCTTGCCCAGGGCCCTGCCACCTGCCAGCCAATTGCTTCACACTCTCCGTGCCCTGCACTCTCTCTGCAGAAAGCCCAGTGCCAGGCACTTAGAGAAGGGTGGACGCCTTGCTCATGCTGTGCAGGCACACATCCTGGCCCACTGTGACCAAGGGAGGTCAAGGTTGCTTTAGCTCTTTCTCCAGTATGTTTCTAGAAAACCATAGCAGTAGCCACATTTATTAAGAGCTTACTGCATACCAGATACTGTGCTAAGCTAGCATTATCACGTATAAGCTGCACTTCAGCCTATTGATATAGGCTCTATTTTTAGCCCCATTTTATGGATGCAGAAAAGAAAGCTCCAAGAGGTGAGGTGCTTGCCCAAGGCCTTGCTGCCAGCAGGGCCTGGGTGGCGGGGCTGGAAGTCATGCCATGAAGCAGCTTTACTCTGTGCAGAAGCCGCACACCGGGGTTTGCCTGCTGAATCATTTGCAAATATGTTTGCTTGACCATTTAGTATAAATTGTTTCCTGACATTTAAAAATCAGAAGACTCCACATAAAAATGACAAGATGTGGCAGCACTGAACCTACAATCACATTGGTAATCACAACCAGAGCCAAGTAGGAGGGGCCCACGCCGCACAGACACAGCACCCCACGCCTCTCCCTATGGTCTTGGCCCTGGCTGCCTAGTTTACATTCCCGCCCAGCATCCTACCGAAAAGTTGAAACAGTTCAAACATACAGAAAAGTCGAAGGAATTGTACACCTGAGACCTAGAATCTGCCAATGTGTTACTTTGCTGGCTGTATCACTTATCTGCTCACCTTCCCTCTCTCCACTTGGCCATTCACCCATCTTCTTTGTGATGCGTTTCAAAGTAAGTTATCAATATCAGTAAGCGTCACCCCAAACACTTCAGTGTGCATATTGTTGAATTCAACTAGTGTTGAGTATTTATTTATGGTGTTTATTGTTCCTTTCTTTGAGATGAGATTCTGTACAGTGAAACGCGCAGATCTCGTGCTATCACTCTATGAGTGTTCATGGATGCACACCCATGAGCCCAGACCCTGAAGAGATATAGAACATTTATCTCCCCAGGCATTGCCCTCGGGTCATTCCTGTCCCACCTCTTCCCCCTGCTGTACTTTTGAATATTACCAGCCTGTAGGCATTTGGGTTTGGGGGACATGGCATATGGCAAAGAAGGAAAGGGCAGCGAGAGGAAATAGCCTCACTACCGGACAGAGGCAAACGAACCCAGGCCGAGCTTTCTTGCCCCATGGGCCAACTCCTCCCATGGCAGCCAGTCTCTGGCCCTCTGAGTGTGTTCAGCACTGCTCTCTGACACCTGAGGACACTGTCACACCACTTTTATGGCACTCCTTTGTCCACGCTCTATCCTTTACCTGGGATGTCCCCTTACCTGGCCAACTCCTACCCCTTTCAAGAATTCATTAAAATGACATCCTGGCATGATGAGCAAATGGTAAACCTGGCCTGCAGACAACACCTGATAGACATTTCTCAGTTAATGGGATAATGGATGCTTGGATGGAGCTCAGTGCCTGGCACATAATAGGCCTTGATAAACGAGTGTTGAGTAGATAGACACCTGTAACTTCTGCTAACTTAACTGTGGCAGATTTATTATAGTGAAAAAAAAATTTTTTTTTTTGCTTTCTTTGTTGTTAAATGTTTGATTCCTAGAATCATATAAAGATAATTGAACTCTAGTTAAAAGATCTGACTCTAAGGCCTGACTCCTCCCTGCTCTCTGTGGCCTTGCTCAACCCACATAACCTCTCCGAGCTCTCAGTTTCCTCATCTGCTGGTTGGAGGAAATTTGAAGAGTGACCAGGGTGAAGCATGAAGGTGAAAAGTAGAAAACCTGGGAAAGTCACTTGCGCAAGATCTCTTTCCCCTCCCAAAGCATGACATTCAAGAGGTAGTAATACCAGTTTGTCACAGTGGCGACCTTGCTACTCAGTTGTACAGACCTAAAACTGCAATAAGATAATGTAGACTTGAAACCTGACTCAGCCGTCCCTCAGCCCGCCCGAGCTTTAACTTCCTTGTTAGCACGTGAGGCGTGTCCTTTCCTCGCAGAGCTGACACGGACGTAGGTCCGACAGCGGGTGTGGACGCAAAGGGGCGGGCATGCTCTGCCGCAGCTCAGACCACCGTTTCCCTCATCCGGATTCTCGCAACAGACCCTTCCTGCCAGTTTTCTACCTCCGCTCCCGTCCCTTTCCAAGTCAGTCTTCCCATGCCAGCCAACAGTATCTGACGGCGTCCCCTCCCGCTTCAAGCCCTTCTTCAGAAACTTCTGTCCTGCCTGGACCCGCCTTCCCGCCTGCCCAGCTCCCCTCTGGCTCCTGCGTGCTGCGGGAGGCCTGGCTCACGGCCTCCCGTGCCAGTGCTCTCCTCCCTCCCCGAGGACAAGGACCGTGTCTGTGATGCCTGTCCCCCGAGCCTGGCGCGGGACCTGGCGCGTACAGACGCTCAAGAAACCCCGGCTCGGTGCCTGGCGCTCAAGCAGCGCCCGGCCGCGGCAGGCACAGGGCTGGCGCGCATGCGCAGCGCACGGGTATCTGCCCCGCAGCTCTTTTCATTCCAGCATCATAACGAATAAACACGCAGATAGCCTTTTGCACTTCGTGCGATAGAAGGTCTACAAAGCTATAATGCTTTCCTTGTCGTTGGAGAAAATGCCGTGATTTTTTTTTTATAGTTCTGTTGCTTTTTTATGACCATGGGCAGAAATATAACCACTGTCTTTTATTTTCCCCTTTAAGAAAAGAGATGGGCTGTGCCTACGTCTAACGTATCTCTGTCCGTCCAGCGCTGTCCTCCTCCCAGCCATCCACCAGGACCCAGCTGGTTTTCCTGAATCAAGATGGCTCCCAATTTTCCTGCTTCTCTTCCTAGGCAGGTAACTTATAAGACTATTTAGACCTCAATGATGAAAACATACATCAATTAAGTTTATTATTTGAGTGTTTCAGTAGGTCAGTGATTCTCAGCATTTTCTCCCTATTGCTTTCATGTTGTGGGCTGCTCATCCACAGCACCCCACTCTGGCACGGACTGTCTGAGACACTCTGAGGGAGGGAAGGTTGATGTCTGTGAACTTAAACCGGCAGGACCCTTGCACATGGATGCCAGTGCCACCATTTACTGCCAACGCGATCCTGAGAAGTGAGTTTGTCTTTCTGTGCCTCACTTTCCCCGTCTGCAGGGCAGGATAAATCCTAGCCTTTGGGCATGCTATAAAGTTGATGGGTCACAGGTATTAGGTGTCTAAAATCATGCCGGGGGAGGTACCAGGCACCAGGCACCAGGCACCGGGGGTAGGTGCTTAGGGCTTAGGTGCGTCTTGTGACTTCTGGAAAGGATGGGGAGGGAGTTCCGCCCAAGGGCCGACTCAGACGGGGTCATGTGTCTGCTGGAAGCATCTGTGATCTGTCGAGTTTCTGGGGACCACATTCAGACTCACAAGGAAGGAGGGCTGGGATCTCTCTGTCAAGGCAGACGGGGAGGATGGGCAGCCATTGCCAAGTCCATGCCATCCCTGACTTTGTGAAACGTCGCCCTATGAAGGCCTTTAGCGATGCCTTTAGAGAAAGTCTATGAGGAATGAGGGCCACCTCTTGAGAGAATGAATGTTCCTTAGTTAAAATCAGAGGAGCAAAACAGAGAAAGTTGTGAGCCAGAGAGACCGGACACCAAGGAAACTGAGGCACCACCGCCAGAGTGAGCACAGCCCATGGAGAGCTGGATTACTGCGTTCGCTGGCTGAGGCCCCTGTGGGTGGGAGGTGGCTGCGCATGAGTCTCGTGGACACTGACTCCTTGTCACTGGTGTTCTGTGTCCCACCTGCACAGAGGGGGCTCTGGGAGGGCGGCTGCTTGGTGGGCACTCCTGGGACAAGGGGACGAGGAACACTTTGGGGAAGGAGTGTGAAGAAGTTGAGTAAAACTAAACCTCTGTCACAATTTTCTTTCTGTCTTGAGTTGAACGGAGACTTGGTGCTTTCTCTTCCGCTATGCTCCCCTTTGGTTATAAACCATGAAGTTCGAGGGAGGGAATCATCAAGGTGTTTCTGATTCTTTTACAGTCAGGCCAGCAACATGGAGTGGCAGTGGTTGGGAGGAGACCTCCCAGGAAGTTACGTGGCTCCCTCCTGGAACCGGCGTCCTTGTTCTGGCCACGCTTAAGGAAGCCAGCTGGGCTGCATTCGATTCTAGAGACAGAGCGGGAGTGGGGGCTTGGGGGCCCCCTTGCCCGCTCATCACCATGTCTGGTTTTCATTACACAAATCCTGCCCCTACCTCCCTGCACTCCGGAAACAGAAATCCTACTTCGTAGTAACCAAAGGAGGACCACAGTGTGCCTTATCTCAGAAATTTCAGAAGAGAAGTGAAAAAGAGATGGATTCAGAACGGCTATTTGTCTAATAAACAGGCCCCAGCCCCTTCATTTCCTGCAAACAGGGTTCGGTTGCAGCTAATCCACGTTGGCTCCACTCATCACGCATTATCATTTTTATCGGCCTCATAAATCGCCTTTCCAGATTACACAAAAATATACATTGCCCCACTGTAATTATCGCAGACCCCCCTTCTCCCTCTTCATTTTGATCCCAGGTAAACCCAGTCATTACCCGCATCAGCGTGGCTTCCCAGCACGTCAAGATTAAAACGGACCGGGAGACTTGCGCAAGACTGAGTCAGCCGAGCAATTTGAACCAATAAATATCAAAGTCGTGTCTAAGCAGAGAACAATTCATTTGATACCACATCTGTCAACAGGCCTGTGGAGGATTTTCCTTCCTGGGGCTCCGCCCTGGCGGCCCTGCCTCCTTTCCTTCCCGGTGCCGTGGAGAAGCTGGACCGTGCTCCCCGGAGGACGGCGCCCGGCGCCCAGGACCGCGCCCGTGCCCAGCCTGGGGGCTTGGGCGGCCGGGCTGCCTGCCCTGCACCCGCTATCAGGACGACCTGCTCAAGTGCCTCGGCTGGGCAAGCGCGCTCCGCAATTAGCAATTCTTTTTTATTGGTTGATGTGGGCTTCTGGCCAAGAGGAGTTGGGATTGAATCAATATTCCCTTTATTATGTCATCGTAGGCAAATGAATTATGAAAACAAAAGCTCAATATGAAGCTGCCAATGCTAATTACCGGGCAGGAAGCGGAGGCACAATAAACAAAGGGCGCTCTGTCCTGGCGGGAGCAGAGCGCTGCCCGGTCGTCGCAGGCTCTGGGGGCTGCGGGGCCCACCTTTCTTTCTCCCTCAAGCCCTGGGATCCAGAAGGAAGTTCGAAAGGATCTGGCCTGGTCCCCATGGGCCTAGCAATCTTGGATCCCTGTGTTTAAACCACACAATCCAATTCAAAGCAAGAAGCATTTATTGAGCGCCTACAGGGTACCAGGCTCTGTACTTTTCACAAACCACCACTACCACCTTTATTTGTTGCTGTCTCCAGAGTCTGGTGATGAAGAGGATACGTCTTTAAAATTAGATCTACCTAGCTGCAGATCTCCTCTCTGAACCTCAGTTTCCTCATCTGTAAAATGAAAATAATAATATGCACGTCACAGAGTCCCAAGAGGTTTAGCTGAGAAAATACGTGTCTAATATGGCACGTACAAAGTAGATACTCAGTATATGTTAGCTATGCTCCTTCTCCTCCTTCCTGTTCTCCTCCTCCTCTTGCTCTTCTTCCTCCTCTTCCCTCTTCTTCCTCATCTTATCATAATCATCACCATCACCCTCCAGGGAGCTCCCTAGTACCCAGAGCAGGGCTCACTCACGCACTGTTAGTGCACTGTGCTAATGAGAGAAAGGAGCCCATGCCTGGCGACATGGACATGGTACAACACACTTCACAGCAGGGGCTTGTGCCCCAGAGCTGACAGGCTGACCAAGAGACAGACACATGTCAAAGTAACTGTCATGGGCTGTGGAGAGAAGAACATGGCAGGTTGTAATGGGGAGCACCAAGCTCAGTCCCTGCCTTGCTTCTGTCTCAGAGAACCAACTTGGAAGAATCAAACTCGTCCCTTTGTGAGAAAGCCCTTGGCCTCTGCTTCAGTGGAGGAGTGGGGGCTCTGCAAGGCTGGTTGTTCTTTCCCTCAAGTTACAGGTGGTAGGAGGTGGGCTGGTCAGGGAGGAGTGTGGCTGGGGAGGGTGGAGTGGGTGGGACTGAACAGTCCCCGACCCCCAAAGCCCACGCTCTTTTTCAGTCTCTCTAGGAGCCTCCAGGGTTCACCCCCACACCTGGCAGTGTGCTGGGGGTCCAGCAATGAGTGTCAGGTCAGTCTTTGCTAAGTGTAAAAGAATAGTCATTCTTAAAAGTCATAACCAACTTTGATGCCATGACTAACAGCATCCAGTTTCCCTTCACATGGTCACAGGAGCCTCTGTGGTGGGGACCGTCACCTCATTTTCTAAGGAAAAGCTGAGACTCTGAGAGAGAAAAGTCAGGAGCCCAGTCTGACACAGCTACTCGGGTCCAGAGCCTTTCCCATCACTCCACACCTTCTGGAAGACAGAGGGAAGCCAGCCCTGCACCTCCTGGCCACGGGACAACTCCAGACGTCTGCAGCATCCCAGCCCCCTGCTCATTTAGGGAGATGAGTGTTCCCCAGCTATTTTTCAGGGACTCTTATCCCCATGGGCAGATTAATCAAGGTCTTAGTTGTCAGTTAATTGGAAGCAAATGGCTTTGACTTCCCATTCAGTTCCTGGCATGTGTGGCTCCAAGCCATAGGATCAGGTGAGTCCCTTTGAATCCCAGGTTGGAAGTATTCCCATGATAAAGGGCTTCTGGAAGCGGTAGGACCAGAGCATGAGAAAATCAGGCTTCCATGGCACATGGAAGGAAGAGACATGGAGAAGTCTTATTTCCTACTTTTCTACTAAAGAAACAGCTCCTGTGTTCATGAGTCTATAATCAGTATAGCTGGTGCTCAGAAGGGCCATGCACTTGGGATTTAATGCTCCATTGTCATTGTCTTGAGATTCTTGATAGTTTTGTCTTTGAATTTGTATTTTGTAAGTGGCATCTGATAGGACAACAGCCCGGTGGCTGCCAGCATGGGCTTTGGAATCAGCCTCTGCCCCACCTGCTGTGCAGCAGGCCCTGGAGGTTCAGAGCCTCAGCTCACACCTGGTCCCACCTCCCAGTGCCTCCCTGCCTGCCTGGGGCAGGTCCTCAGTCCACTTCTCTGCCTCCACCCAGTGACTGCTGCCACCCTCTGCCTGGGCGGGAGCCTGGGTGCAGAAGCAGGGAGGGTTGGGGCTGTGCAGGTCTGTACTCACCCCATGAGTATCCTCATACCCAAGAAAATGAAGCATTAAATAAGAAATTAAAAATACTACGACAGGTAGAGAGAGGGATCCTGGAAGAAAGGAAGAAGCTTTCCTCCTGCTTTTTGCACAAGGGCCCTGCATTTGTATTTTGCAGTGGGCACTGCAACTAGCCCTGACAGGACTTCAGCAGGACTGGGCACAAGCGGAGCTGTGGTTCTGAGTCATCACCGTTCTGCAGCCCCGGCACTGGCTGGTGGAGGGAGGCCAGGCCCAGGACAGAGCAGCTTCGGAATCAGCCTCTGCTTCTGCCTGCTGTGTGACCTTGGAGACGTTACTTTGCTTCTCTGCTAATTTGTTTTTTTATCTGTAAAATAATAATAGAGTTGTCAGAAAGAGCCAACAAGAACATGCAAGTAAGAGCTCTTGGCAAGGTGCCTGACACAGAGCAAGTGCTAAGTAGGTGTTAGTTATTGTTTCATCATTGCCATCGTCCTCATCATCTGTGTCATTGTCATCTGAGTTCTACTCTGCCAGATGTGTGACCTCAGACACATAATCACCACATGCAAAAACATGGCACCATGCCTATTAATTAATAGTATTGTATAAGTGAGATATAAGTGTTATCCTGGCACAATGCCTAAAAATTAATAGTATCCTCACATATGGTCAATTGGTTTTCATCAATGGTGCCAAGACCACATATTGGGTAAAAGGACGGTCTCTTTAACAAATAGTGTTTGGGAAATTGGATATCCACATGCAAAAGGATAAAGTTACATACCTCACACCATATACAAAATTTAGTTCAAAATGGATCAAAGACCTAAACTTAAGAGAGCTATAGGAGAAAATCTTCATGACATTGGATTTGACAATGATTTCTTGAATATGACACTAAAAACACAGGCAGCAAAATAAAAAGTAGATACATGAGTCCATTTGTCTACTTTTTATTTTGCTGCCTGTGTTTCATTAGAATTAAAAAATTTTATGCACCAAAAGATACTATTAAGAGAGGAAAGAGACAACTCACAGAATGGGAAAAAATATTTGCAAATCATATCTTATAAAGAATTAATATCCAGAATACATGAAGAACTCACCAACTACAAAACAACAACCCAATTCAAAAGCGGGCAAAGGACTTGAATAGACATAGAAGATGTTCAGATGAGCACTGAGCACACGAGAAATGCTCAACAGCACTAATCATTAGGAAACTGCAGATCAAAGCAGCAGTGAGATGCCCCTTCATACCCATTAAGATGACTATAGTAAAATTTTTTAAAATACCCCAAACAGAAAACAAGTGTTGGGGAAGATGTGGAGAAATTAGAACATGTGCATTGCTTGTGGGAATGTAAAATTGTGCAGCCACTGTGGAAAACAGTTTGGCAGTTCCTCAAACAGTTAAGCCCATGATCCAGCAATCTACTACTTATATATCCAAAAGAATTAAAAGCATGAACTTGGGCAAATATTTATACACCCATGTTCATAGCAGCATTGTTCATAATAGCCAAAAGGTGGAAACAACACAAGTGTCCACCAAGGGCTGGATGGATAAACAACATGTGGTGTGCACATGCACGGAGTATTATTCAGCTGAAAAGGAAGGAAATTCTGACACATGCTACAACATGGGGAACCTTCAATACATTCTGTTAAGTGAAATAAGCCAGACACAAAAGGACAAATACTGTATGATTTCACTTACATGAAGTTCCTAGAATAGCCAAATTTATAGAGACGGAGTAGATTAGAGGTTACCCGGGGCTTCGGGAAGTGTGAATGGGGAGTTATTGTTTAATGGCTACAGAATTTCTGCTGGGATGATGGAAAACCATGGAAATGGATAGTAGGAAAGGTGGTACCATATCATGAATGTACATAATGCCACTGAGTTATACACTTAAAATGGCTAACATGGTAAGTTTCATGTTATATGTATTACCACAATTTTACTAACATGATTACCTCTTAATTTCCACAAGTCTCTGATGTCTCACCTGCAAAACGGTAGCAAGACTATGTGCCTAGACCGTCGTGAGCCCAGTGAGACAGAGCAGAAGGAAGGTCCCCAGACACATCAGTGGACATTAACAAGGCAAGCGCTGGTGTCCTGCTCCTGGCCCCGCCACGCCGTTTCAGCCAGGCCTCAGGCCTTGGCGTTTCCAAGAGAGAGCTGGCAGTTGACTAAGAGACGTGAGCATGTCCTTTTAGAGCTTAGACTTTTATTTCCTAGAACAACATCTCTAAAATGGTTTACCCTGAAACACTTCTTATAGTGAGCTATGCCTCAATCAAAAGATGAGATAAAGCTAGGAAATCATTAGACTTTAAAGGCTCTGAGAAGTCTTGCAATTTAAAAATCACGTTTAATGTAGCTGAACCTAAGATTTTCAAAACTTTTTTGAGCATGAGTCTCTTTTTTCATGTAGTGTCTACAGACTGCATTCAGGGAACTGCTTATCTAGAGGCATTCAAACGTGAGACACCAGGTAGGCCTGCCTGGTAGGGGAGGCACATGGCCACGCCGTGGAAACAGATGTGGTGATTTCTTGCCTCTCATGCAGCGTATTCATGTAAGTTCAGTTAAGTTTCCCCTAAGTAACTCACTGATTTTCTTTTTTCTTTTTTGAGACAGATTCTCACTCTGTTGCCAGGCTAGAGTGCCGTGGCATCAGCCTAGCTCACAGCAACCTCAAACTCCTGGGCTCAGGCAATCCTCCTGCCTCAGCCTCCCGAGTAGCTGGGACTACAGGCATGCGCCACCATGCCCGGCTAATTTTTTCTATATATTTTAGTTGGCCAATTAATTTCTTTCTATTTTTAGTAGAGACGGGGTCTCGCTCTTGCTCAGGCTGGTTTTGAACTCCTGACCTTGAGTGATCCGCCCGCCTCGGCCTCCCAGAGTGCTAGGATTGCAGGCGTGAGCCACCGCGCCCGGCCCACTGATTTTCTTTATCCATTTACTTACTCATTCAGCAAAGCTTTACTGCGCACCTGCGCTGTGCGGGCACCCGGAGAGAGAACTGAGCCCCTCGGGGTACGGACAGCCCGGAGGGGAAACAGGAGGCCAGCAACTGCATGCCGGGCCAGAGGGGCTGTTTTACTGTAGGAGCTGGGGCACCTGGAGCCGGGGCACGGAGGAAGCGACATCTGAATAGTTGCTGCCAGAGAGTCCCCTGCCCCGGCATGGTCTATTCCATGAAGAGATCGAACTGTGTTTCTTCATTTCTCCAGGGACCCAAAGTGAGTCTCTGAATGGATTTTCTAGGTATTTAGAGAAGAGACTTCAAACTGGTGATCTTCAGTTTGTTTAACTTAGATACAATCTTTAAGAAATAAGCTCCCAATAAAAGAATGGAAGTTTTCACATTAAAATTTGGATTTCTTTTTTTTTTTTTTTTTTTGTTTTTTGGTGGTGAGGGAGACGATTAGATGCTCTGACATCTCTGTGCCCACATTCCAAGATTCCAGGTATTGCAACTGTCTGAATTTCTCTGGTGTCCCACAATTCCCTCACTCCCATCAGCCTGCTTTTCTTATTTTTGCTTCATTCATTACATTTTATATCTGAACCTCATAAACAGTTGAGTTTATAATCTCTATCAAACATACTGCACCTCTAAACTGCTCTCCAAACATTAAATGTATATAAAAATATATGTCTATGTTATTGGGGTTTTTTCCTCCAATTACAAAGGTAATATATGTTAATGATGAAAATGTAGCATGTCACCCCAATTCCTACCTTGGGACTTCGTGGACATTGTCATCAGTTTTCTATTTCTCCTGACTTCTTTTTCTCTCTGCCTGTGGTACAGCCAACTATTTTGAAAATAACCAATTACTGTGACCAAGTGTTTTTGGAGACTGGTGTAACACTTACCAGAAGTTTTCTGTGTGTGACACACAGCTCTTGCTTTCCCAACAATCAGCACTAACAGAGAATGGATATTTTTCAAAATACCTGGTTGTTTTGCTGAATTTGCCCTTTAGTTTCCACAGCAGGGGGTCCGGACCTAAGACTCTGTTCTCTTCACTTCTGGCCAGTGCTCTGCTCCCTCCCTTATGCTGGTGGTTTTCAGACATCAGTTATTTAAGCACTATTTTCATAATTTCTGCTGTATTATTCATAAAATTATATATTAATACTTCATATTTTCTAAAATAAATTCACTATTTTTACATAAAACTTTATATTGTTACCAAAGATGGAAAACCATGATCATTTCACATTAACAGAAGGTACATTGTACAAACGAATACAACAAAAACAAATAAAAATTGATATTAAATTCTAGCTTGCTGCTGTTGTCTGCCAAACTTCCATTAAAAGAAGGCTGAGCAGGAGCTAAGGGAGGTGTTAAACACAGGCTAGCACCTAACTGAACCCTTTTCTTGATCTAATCAGAAAAATTGGAAGAAAAATGAAAGAGAAATAGTTTTCTCGTGGGTGATTCAATGTTCCTTAAAGTCTCGCGCACCATGGCACTGCCTTCCTGCCGCCAAGGCTGGCCCTGGGGACTGCGTCAGCCACACCCCAGTGTTGGGGGACACATTTTCATTATTACCATTGTTGCTGCACAAAGCAGCTGTCTTCAGGCCTCTGATAGTTAACTTCTCTGTCAGGTCTAGAGTCTCCTCTAAATCAAGTCCACTAACTTGTCCCGCGTCGTCAAGGCTCAGACCAGAAAGAAACTTAAAAGCCAAAGCCCCAAATCAAACAATAACAACTCAAGTCCCTCCCGGTGCAACCTCTCTGTCCGCGCTGTTTCCCGGCACCGGAGGTGGAGCCGTGGAAGCGCCACCGGGTCTGAAGACACCTGTGGGCCAGACTGCTCCGCACCCTGGGCCTCTCCAGTCCTTCTTCCCACTTCGCTGCGAACTTTCTGTCCTACCCGGTAATTAGTACTGGCAGCCTCATATTGCCTCTTTTGTTTTCATAATTCATTTACTTTTGATGATATCATAAAGCGTGTATAAATTCCATCCCCCTCCCCTTAACGTCCTGGCCCCACGCCCACATCCACTAATACAAAGACACTAATTGCTCCTCGCTCTAGTGCCAGGCGCTTTGAAAACATCTTTGGCTAATGGATGGAATTAACCTTGTTTAACGTACAAATCAGCAGCCTAATTTGCCATGAATCCCGACTCCGTGGCTCCATGACTATGGCTGGGAGGAAATGACTTCCCACCCTCCCCGGGCCACACTGGGAAAGAAAATAGCTGGTGGCGGCATTTGAGGAGCCTTCCCCCGGGCTCCCCACCTGTGATGGAATTGTCAGCTTAAGGCACATGCGTCTGTCCTCACCACCCCTCAACTCCAAGGCCCCTGGGGCCGAGGGCAGCTTATTCATGACTGTGCCCCAACCTGGCCCAGCCGTGGTGTGTGGGAAGTGCCAGGACAATCCTCGATGGGTTCATCGAGTCAACGCTTCTAAGCGGAGCATCTGCGGTGTGCCAGGCTGAGTCCTGGGCTCTGTGAACCCAGCAGTGAGGTGAGCCTCTTGGTCTTATGCAGCTTACGTTCTGGGGTGGTTAAGCAGCTAACCGGCAAGCAAATATGTGCATGTCCTGTATGTGTGAGATGTCACAGAGCGGCAAATGGTATGAAGAAAATTAAGCATGGCAACGGAAGAGTGAATGGGCTGGAGGGGGAGGAGGACTTGAGCTAGGGAGGCTGGGAGGCCTCACTGAGAAGGTGACATTTGAGCTGAGTCCTTGTTATGGGTGCCTTTGGTGCAATGGTGGTCCTCTGGTACCCTGCCAGGCAAGCTGTCCCAGAGGCCACTAAACAAAAAGACACATGGAGCAAACTAGATGCTGGAACCGCACGCTTTATTAAATCCTTCTAGAACATACAGAGAGAAACAAGGGGAGGGCAGCCAGTCAGTGCCCTCAGGACAGGTGCTGCGGGGGAGGCCCACACTGCCCCGTTCCCGCGCCAGCCCGTGTTCCTGCGCCCTGTCACTGCCCCTAAACCTTCCCTGCTGACGGGCCTACAGTTGATAAGCAACACGGGCCCACTCCCTTCCTGTTGCTGTGGTCACATCTACTCCCTCATCCCCACCTGTTGCCTGGACGACTTTTGTGACAAGGACGTGGAAGGGTCGTTCTCACACTGTAGAACCGCAGCACTCTCCCATCACACGGCTTCTTCCGGGGAAAGTCTCAGAAGCGTGTCCTCTGATTAAAGGTCAGCGTGGCCTTATCTATTTATTTTTCTATTTAAGAAAAGTGAATGAAATGTTGAGGTCCTAAACTGTCACGGGTTGAATAGATGTGACATTTGAAGCCACACCGGGGAAGAGCCGCAGCGTGAGAGCTGGGGGCGGACAGCGGAAGTGCAGAGCTGGAGGCCGGGGCCTCGCTGCCCAGCCCGGCGCGGGCTGCGCTCCGCAGGCTCCCTGGCCCTGCTGCTGCCTCGGCAGGAGCCACCATCTGAGTTTCCATAGCAACAGGCTGCTTAGGGTGTGGCTGCCACTGGGCCTGAGAGGTGCTGCTGCTGCTGCTAGAATTGGTCTTAACTGACCCAGCATCTTTGGGTCAAAATTCAAGATCCTAGGCAGGGACATCTGCCTAGGATCTTGACCAAACCTGGCCTCTAAGAACAGACTTCAGGGATCTTAAAATCCAATGCAGGCAGAGCAAACACACACTATTCATGCCCCTGGTAGGAGGTTATGACCCTCAAAGTGGAAGGACTCTGGTTCCTCAAAGACCACGTAGAGGACAGCCTGTCACCCCGCCCACCGGAGCGCTGGGACGGCGATGTGCTCAGGGCAGCTTCTACAGTGAAGAGCCACCGCATGTTAGGGTCTGCTGCTTACAGCAGCGCCACCTGCCCTAAGCACGCGAGGAGCCAGAGCACTGGGGGCGGAGCTGGGGATTAGGAGCCTGCGCTTGTGGGACCCAGGGTGGCGAGTCACGGCGGGGGTCAGAACTGCAGGCTGGAAATATGGGCAGAAACACCTGGTGGGGGCTTCATCTCCAGAGAAAAAGGAAAGGCCAGGTACTGAGTCTGGGTCCTAAAATCTGAATGACGGTAGGATTTCTTATAATTTACCTTTTAAAGATGAAACATAACCTTTCGGTGGAGATTACGTTGCTCAACTAAAAAGCGTGTTGAGAACAGGGATAAGTCCAGTGTGGTGGGCTGTAAAGTTGTCCCCCAAAGAGATCAGGTCCTAATCCCTAAAACCTATACATGTTATATAAAAAAAGAGGATCTTTGTGGATATGATTAAGTTAAGAAATTTGAGATGGAGCGATTATCTGGGTTTTCTGGGCGGCCCCTAAATGCCATCTCCAGTGTCTTCCTAAGATCGAGGAAGAGGGGAGGACACACGCAGGGCAGAGGCCGCGCGCAGGGAGCGGAGACGGGAGTGGTGCAGCCACAAGCCAAGGAGCGCTGGCGGCCACCAGGCTGGAAGGAGCAGGGAGTGGATTCTCCCCTAGAGTCTTCAGAGGCTCTTGATTTTGGCTTAGTGGTACCGATTTCAGACTTCTGGCCTCCATAATGGTGAGAGAATAAGTTTCTATTGTTTTAAGCCACTCCGTTTATAGTAATAACTTACAGAAGCCACAAGGAACTGAAACACCCAGTAAATTGCCGCAGGGGAGAGCTAAAACGGATATAGTAGAAAGAGGGGGTGCTTTGGATGAAGGTAGAACTAGAATCAAAGGCCACCTGGTGTGACCTTCAACAATGATACTAACATGACATGGGGGCACATGACACACACACAGCCACCTCCCCTCCACGCCGAGGCAGACATGACTAGTCGATACCGGCATTCTTTCCCAGATACGAACACAGGTGTCTTGGCAACCGCCAGCAATATATGTGAAATTACACTCAGTGACCATTCCTATAATGACACTAACTACCATCCACTGGGTACCCACTATATGAGTATTTTAAATAAAAATCTATTTAATTTTTTCAACAAATCAAAGAGACGCTTTTCTTCTTTACCTCAGTTTGCAGGAAAGGAAATTGCATTAATAGTTCATGTAGTTGAAGTGACATTTCCCAAGGCACATAGCTATAAAGTAACAGATCTGGCATTGGAAGTCAGGTCTTCCTGACCCCCAGTCCCATTCCCCTGTGATGCGGGACCAGCCACTTTGATTTCCCCACCTCGGGTTCTTCTCTGTACAGGAGCTGCTGCTCTCCACTCAGCAAACACACGTGCGGTTTCAGTGATCACTACCCAGGCAGCCCCACCGGAGACTGCGGTTTGCACAAAGCCTTGGGCAAATGTCAGCGCCAAGGTCCCTTCGTTGCGGTGGCACGGGGGAGAGCCCACGAGAAGCCAGGCGCAGTCGGGCCAGCCTAAAGCCCTGACCTGGCAGCCCTAAACCCAGCCCTCTCCCTGACCTCCCTCGACCCCACAGCGTGGCTTTTTTCTCGGAGGGAACACACCTGGAGCGGGAGCAGCAGGGTCACCGTGACCTGGGACGGAATGCTCTGTAAGGCCAACATGAGCCCGGACCAGGAATTACAATTACAAAGCCAACAGTCTTTTAACCAGCATCTAACCAAAGATCAGTCACAGGGAGGCCTGGGTGTTCCGGAAGTGAATGGCATTCTGACCTGTTGTCCCTGGAGCCTCTGGGGGCTCTTTCCCCTTTGGGGGAGACCGATTCAGTCAGAAGAGACAGCAGGACTTTAGCACCAAGCTGCCCGAGCTCAAAGCCTGGCCTTGCTGCCCAGGCTGTGTTGTCTGGGATAAGCCACTTCACCTCCTTGGGCTGCCCTCTCTGTGAATGGGGCTCTGAGTCCCTACGTCACAGCATGCCATGTGAATCGAACGGTGCAGGGAACCCAATAGGTGTTCAGCAAGTATCAGTTCCCTTCGTCCTACCCGCTTCCCCAAGGCCACACTGAGCCTGCCTGCAGAGCATCCTGCCTTCCCAGAGCCACACCAGCTAGATCCTGCTCGAGTCCAGTGTCCACTGGGAAGGTGGGAAGGAGTAAGGTCCCGGGCGGGAAGGTGCTGCCCAGGAGGAAGGAGTCGTGGAGACGGCAGGGCTTCCTCAACAAGTCCTAGTCCCCAGAGGCCCATTCACGGCTCTCTCTCCAGCTGGGCCCTGGTAAATCCAGTCTCGAGCAGAAAAAACGTAAATTGCATCTGCTATGGAAAAAGACTGTAGTCATCTTTCTATTTTGGTATCCACAAGTTATGAGCAGCAGGCTCTCAGCACAACAGAAAAACTACACTTGCACTGCTTCCTTATCACGATTCATCTCTCAGCAAATAATTACTTTCCCTCAGGCACCCCTACTCGAACTTTCTAATTATACCATTGTTGGGTTTTATGTCAACTGAACAATAAATCAAATGTGCAACAGGATGTGGGATCAAAATGTGCTAGGGAGTCAACTGTGGGAGGCACACGGCACTAGGGACAGTGACAGGAGCTGGGCTTCCTCTCTCTCCCTCAGGTGTGCCTTGAGACAGCTTCTCTTCTCTGTCAATTCTGCTCACTTTCAGACACAACCCAGACCCTGAGGGACCCACATCAACACACCTCTAAAGCGGACTGAACCCCCGTTGTTATCATTTCCCTCCAAGGGGCCCTGAGAGGGGATACTTCACGAATGACTGTCAAATACTAGCAAGTTTATGGATAATGAGTAATTCCTCATCAACTTTTTTCTTAATGGCATTTGGCTTCCTTCTCTAAGGGACTTCTTGCTACTATCAAAAGGCAAGTTCCCCATCAGGGAAAGAAAGAAGGCAGTGTTTCTTTTGTTTTTCTTTGTTTCCTTTGACCCAATGTTTGTTCAAGAGTATGCTGATTGTTTGTTAATTTTCCTAGTTTCTTATTGTTATTGAGTTCTAGTTTCATTTTCTTGTGGTTAGAAAAGATACTTAGTATAATTTCAATCTTCTTAAATTTGATAAGAATTATCTTGTGACCTAACATGTGATCTATCCTGGAGAATGTTTTATGTGCGCTTGAGAAGATTATGTTCTCTGCTGTTGTGTTCTCTGCTGGTGGGTGGAAAGTTCTGTGTATGTCTGTTAGATCCATTTCATCTACATTGTTGTTCAAGTCAGTTGTTTATGTCTGGATGTTCCAGCCATTATTGAAAGTGAGGTATTGAAATCTCTTAGTATTATTGTATTGCTGTCAATTTCTTCCTTCAGATCTGTCAATATTTGCTTTACATATTTTAGTGATCTGATGTTGGGTGTACATATTTATATTTACACAAATATATATATATAAATAAATACAAATATTTGTATAATTATTTTTTACAAACATTTGTAATATATTTATTTGTAATTGCTGTATCTTCCTCATGAATTAACTCTTTTATCTTTATATACTGTCCTTCTTTGTCTCTTGTGACAGTTTGACTTAAAGTCTATTTTTTCTGATGTAAGTATAGCTACCTTTGCTTTCTTATAGGTTGTCATCTGCATGGGTATCTTTTTCTATCTTGTCACTTTTGGGTTATATGTGTCCTTAAATCTAAAGTGAGTCTCTGGTAGACAGCAAATCACTGGATCTTGGTTTTTCTAAAAATTCATTCAGCCACTCTATGTCTTTTGATTGGGGAGTTTAATCCACTTATATCTAAAGTGATTAACAGGTGAAGATTTACTATTGTCATTTTCTTAATGGCTTTCTGTCTTTTTTCAGTTTTTCCCCCTCTCTTCCTCTCTTGTTGTCTTTCTTTGCTGTTTGATAATTTTTTATAATGATTTGCTTCAGTTCTTTTCTCTTTACCTTTTGTGTATCTATTTAAAAATCTACAGGCTTTTTGTTTGTGATAACACAAGGATTGCTTTAAATATCTTGTAGTTATGGCTATTTTAAGTTGATAATATTTTAATTTCGATTGTATACAAAATCTCTACACTTTCACTCCCTCAACATGCACATTTTGTGTTCTTAAAGTCAGCATTTACTTCTTTTTATGTTATGAATTTAATGACAAAGTTTTGTGGTTATAGTTTTTACATTAGATTTAAACACCATTTATGTACCACGATTACAGTGTTATATTATTGTGTATTTGTCTGTATATTTACATTTATCAGTGAGATTTATGATTTTATATGCTTTTGTGTTGCAGTTTAGTGTGTTTTCATTTCAATTTGAAGAACTCCCTTAAAACCATTTCTTGTAAGGCAGGTCTATCGGTGACTAACTCCCTCAGTTTCTGTATCTTAG